TTCCATCTTCTTTTGATGCTTCCTGAGTCATTCAATATTTTGTCCATTGAATCTTTCAATATTGCAAACTTGAGGCTTGAATTTCTCTTCAATTTTTTCTGCTTGAGAAGAGTTAAGTACATTCTTCCCTTCCAGTTTTCTAACTCCAGGTCTTTGCACATTTCATTATAAAACTTTACTTTTTCTTCTCCAGCTGCTCTTCGAAATTTTCTGTTCAGCACTTTTTGTTCATCATTTGTTCCAGTTGCTTTAGCTTCTTTATGTTCAAGAACAAGATTTTCAGAGTCTCTTCTGATACCCATTTTGGTCTTTTCTGTCTTTCCTGTCTTTGTGAGGACCTTTTGCTTTCTTCTTATATGATGTTCTTGATGCCACCCCACAACTCCTCTGGTCTTTGGTCAATTAGTGTCTAAAGCATCAACTCTGTTCTTAAGATGGTCTCTAAATTCAGATGCGATATACCCAAGGTTATATTTTGGCTCTCATGGTCTTGTTTTAATTTTCTCCAGCTTCAACATTAATTGCATAAAAGCAATTAATGGCCTGTTTCACAGTTGGCCCCTTACCTTGTTTTAGATGATAGTGAGTCAGTTTGATTGGCCCTGAGTTCTGCTTCATAAATACTCTCTGAATGAACACATAAATTAAGTGACTCTGTCCACATCACTTAAATCAGATGGTCACTACCACCTTCCCTGTACAGAAGAAACTGAAGTCCAGAAAAGGGGTCCAGGCCTGCTTGGCTGGTGGGGTCATGGCCCAAGGCCCGGCCCATAACCAGTTGAGAGCCCACAGAGCTCCTGTCCTGCTCACCCTAGGGGGAGGTGTTGAGTTCCCCTCATCCAGGAAGCCACCTGTCTCCCGACACCTGGCTCCAACTAAAGCTTATGTGGACCCTGGGCTTATTTGCCCAGGTGTGCTGAGTATGAAGGAAATTCTTCATAGGTGAATTTGAGGAGAACACGCCTAGGGTGGGGCCTGAGCATGCTCTGAAAACACCCTTGACAGTAATGGGAGGGAAAGGGGAAGTGAGGAAGAAGAAAATGCTGCAACACTGAACAGTTAACCCCAAGGCTGATGGTTCAAACCTACCAGCTAGCTCTTGGAAACCCTATACAGGGTTGTTTGAGGGCACCGAACAAGAACAAAGAAACATAGAGAATTCCTAGGTGGTGCAAAAGATTTGCACTCAACGACTAGCCTGGTGCGGCACTGTAAGATAAGCAGTGGGTCACAAGGTTAGCTTGAAGCACAAGGTTAGTGGTTCAAAGTCACCAGTGGCTCCTCGGAAACCCTACACAGGTCGCTTTGAGTCAAAACTAACTCGACAACACTTAATAACAACACTAGCCAAAAGGTTGGTGGCTTGGATCCACCCAGAAATGCCTTAAAAGAAGGACCTAATGACCTGCTTCCTAAAGGTGCTAGTCTTAAACCCTGTGGAGCACTTCTACTCTGCCCACGTGGGGCTCCATGAGTTGGAACTGACGCAACAGCAACTAACAACAGATACACACAGTTTGAACTGAACTGCTACCCTAAACATTGGTGATAGGAACCCACCAGTGGTACCATGAAAGAAGATCTGTCGATCTGCTTTTGATAAGCCAAAGAGAACCCTATGGAACAGTTGTTGTTGTTATGTGCCATGGAGTCGGTTCTGACTCATAGCGACCCTGTACAGGGTTTCCGAGGCTGTAAATCTTTACGGGAGCAGAAAGCCTCATCTTTCTCCTGCGAAACAGCTGGTAGTTTCGAACTGCTGACCTTGTGGTTCGCAGCCCAATTCGTAACCACTACGCTACCAGAGCTCTGCTCTAAAACACATGGCATCACTATGAGTAAGAATCAACTCAACAACAACCAAGAGACATAGAGTATCTGGTTGGTGTAAACAGTTACAGCTCTTAGCTGATAACTGAAAGGTTGGAGGTTTGAATCCACCCAAAGGCACCTCAGAAGAAAGGTCTACTTCCAAAATACTGAGCCACTGAAAACCATATGGAAGAGCACAGTTCTACTCTGACACACATGGGGGTGCCGTGAGACACAATCAACTCGACAATAATTGGTAAAGAGACATAACAATAATGTATACTCCATAGTGCTTTCAAACAACTCGGCAAGTCATTCTGGGACTAATGGAAGAAACTGGAATACATATCAAATAGCATGACCTTTCACTCCAGAGCATCTCTCAACTAGTAAAGACAGGCTCCTACATAACACATCCCCAGCCACAATCTGATAACATGCATTTTACCTCTTTGGTTATGAGGTAAAACCACGTGAGCTCCCTGCTCACAGGGATTTTGTCTTTGCTCCCTGCCATCCATCTCCCCAGTGTTAGAACAGGGCCTCACAGCTGCTCCATAAATATTTGCTGAGTGAATGACCAGTGCATATGTAATTCTGCAATGTGCCTTTTCCATTTTAGCTGTGTTTTCAGATGGACAGTTCCCAATACCCACTGAACTAGTATCGTTCATTTTGCTTGCTTACAGTATTACAAGGTATTTTTTTTTTCCATTTGCCTAATGGAAAATGATGAACATGCCCAATCTTTCACTACTCCAAGCACTGCTAGAATGAACATCTTCACATGCATCTGAGAACTTCCCTAGGGTGGGTAACTGAAGTGGAACTGCTGATTCCAGACATGGCAAGATTGTTTTATGCAGCGGTGGCAACAATCTATAAACCCATTGGTTCCTATTTCACCACATCCTTGTCAGCATAGTGTGGTCAGATTTTCAACCTTTTGCCTATATGGTGGGTGGCTACAGATTATAGTTTCAAAATATAGACTAGTTTTTATTTAGTCCCAAATTGGCTAGAAACTGTGATAAACCTTTTATGTGCATTATCTGAAATAGTCTTTGCAACCACCCTGAGATAGGTCAATAATTACTACTCCCATTTTAGAGATGAGAAACCGAGACTTATCTTAGGTATCTACTGTTATTATACTGGAAATACCACAAACAAGTGGTTTTAACAAATTTAACACAAATTTCTTCCCTCACAGTATAGGAGGCTAGTAGTCTATATTCAGAGTGCAGGCTCTAGGGAAAGGCTCTCTCTCTTTCTTCATAAGCTTTGAGGAAAGGTCCTTGTCTCCTTTCAGCATCCGTAGGCCCGGCATTCCTTGGAGATCTCCACTGGCTTCAATCTTCCCCTGGATCTAGGAGCATCACAGTGCAGGAGCTCCAGGCCCAAAGATGCACTCCACTCCTGGCTCTTCTTTCTTGGTGGTAGCCAGTCTTTCTCTGCTCACTTTGCTCTCCTTTTATCTCTTATAAGATAAAAGGTGTTACAGTCCACACCCCTGAGAAACTCCCTTACATGGAATCAAGGTTGTGATGGGATTAATGAGCATTGCAGCCCATCAATAATTCTCTCATTGGTTTTTCATATAAGATAACATCATGGGGAATCATCACATAACTGCCACATTGTTGTTTTTAAGCGCTGCCGAGTAGATTCCGACCCATAGCAACCCTGCATAGGGTTTCCGAGGAGCGGCTGGTGAGCTTATACCACTGATCTTGCAGTTCAAACCAACTTTGCAGTCCAGTGCATTAACCCACAGCACCACACCAGGACTCCAACTGCCACATGACATCATTATACAACTGCCAAACCACTGAGAGTCATGAGCCAGCCAAGTGGATACACGCTGTGGGGGACACCGTTCAATCTCTGACAAGCACCTTGTCGAGGCTGCACTGTGCATATAGAGGGAAGCTGCCACTAAGCACGGCTACCAGGCTCAGAGTGCGTCTCCTAACTACTACTGTGATATTCTTATTTTGTCCTTTGATCTTTCTGACACCGTTAACATTTTTATATTGAGCATGTGTTCCTTCTAAAACGAGGCAAGAAAGCCTGAATCCATCTTATTATGGATTGAATTGTGTCCCCTCGAAATACGGGTTAGGATCCTAACCCCTACACTTATGGGTGTGGTCCTGTTTAGAAGTAGGGCTTTCTTTGTGATGTGAATGAGGTCATATCAGTGTGTCTTAAACCTCCTCACCTCTGAATTATCAAACGGGCAGATGAGAGACAGACACAAGGAGAGAGAGTGGCCACAGGAGGGCCACCTACAAGTCAAGGATCCCAGGAACATATCAGGCCTCTGCTCTGAAATGGACCCTAAGAAAATTCATTTCTGTTCTTCCAAGTCATTCTTTTGAGGTACTTCTAGCAGCACTAGGTAACTAAGACAAACTGTAGATTAAAATATATTCAACAGTTTTAAAGATGAGGTTTACTGGTTAAAAAGAGAGTGGAGGAACATGACATCATGGTGCTTAGCCACTCTTCAGGTCTAGAACGGAACTCACCCTCCTCATGGCCCAAATTGCAGCCAAGTAATAGATAGGAATATAGTGGGGACAACACCAGTAAGGTATGCTCCCCAGGGAATGATCAACCATTCAAGATCAAAAGGGCAACATTTACCTAAGAACAAAGTTCAAAAAGATTGTTACGGAGGATGGAATGGAAATAAGAACCACAAGGAGGAAGAGATATAGCTGTTGTTACATGAAAGGAACTGCAATTGTTGAGATGAAACAAAAAACTGTCAAATGTAAACCTGATGATCTGCTCTGTACACTTGCATTCAGTTCACAACAACAAAAAAGTTTTTAAGCTTTGCCTCACATCTCCTTCCCCATCACACCCCATCCTACCCCTACTGTGAGCTCTTCCATCAGATTTCCTTTCTGCCCTGAACAAACCCCTGCAACCCAGAGACCTTCCCAGACAGTGGGCAGGGAGACCTGGCTGAGGAGAGGGGCCAGGGCTCCTATGGACTGGCCTGGTCCTCACAACCTCTCATGTTCTGTCTCCTGCTCCTGCTTCTGCCAGAGAGAGTGAGGTGCTGTCTAGACTGTGTGGGAGGTGCCAAGACCTGCCTTCTTGGGGCCCCTTCTCAGACTCCCCAACTATCCCTCAGTCCTCATCCATCCTACCTGCTGGGCCCCACTCACCAGGTCTGATTGGTGCTGGAGTCTTGGTGCAGAAGGGAGCTGAGCACAAAAGGCGCACCGCTGGGTGTGATCCAAGTCTGGGCTACATCCACATTGAAGCCTGCCAGGGGAGCCAGGCCTGTGGGGAATAGAGTATCAGTTAATGAAATTAACAAAATGAGTAACATATCATGAAATTAACAAGAGGCATGTTGTTGAGACCTTGACTGAGCCACTACTCTCACTGCGGCATCGAATCCTCACACTAACCACTAACATTTTACAGATGAGAAAAGTGAGGCTCTCCAAGTATGAGTGATTTCTCCAAGGGACTGACTCAGAAACCCTGAGTCTCTTACTAAAGCAAGTTGTGTCAGTATCAGGTCCCCTTCCTCCAGAAGGTCTCCTCTGGTTTCTCCCCAGAAGTACTTCTTGCTTTCTCACATCTTCCCACTGTACACTTTCTAGACCTGTCACACACCACATGCATATCACTGAATCTCGTACCAAAGGTAAAGCCTATCGACAACCAGGAGGGAGAGAGCCTACATCCATTCTGTCCATGTATCTCCATCAAGTGATTTATCAAGAGAAAGCACAGGTCCTCAAAATTAGCTGCAAAAGAACATTTTATGTCCTAACCATATACCTTGAGGGAATAGTCACTGGTTCTGGGGGCTCAGGACTATAGTCTTGGGGAACATCAAAATCAATTGGCATAACATAGTCCACAAAGACAATGTCTTACATCCTACTTTGGTAAGTAGTGACTTGGGGCTTAAAAGCTTGTGAGCGGCCATCTAAGGTACAATTATTTGTGTCCCCATCTAGAGGAATAGCAAGTGAAGAAAATCAAAGACTCATGGAAATAAATAGTCTGAAGAACTATTGGACCACATGAGCCCAGCCTCAATGACCCTGAGAGCACAGAACTAGATGGTACCCAGCTACCACTGCCAACCACTCTGAAAGAGTTCACACCAGGAGGTCCTGGATAGAGTGGGAGAAAAGTATGGAACAAAATTCAAAATAATAAAAATGATCAGGCTCCCTGATTGAACAGAGAATGGTGGAACCTCCAAGTATACGGCCCTTAAACACCATTCAAGCCTGGAATAAAACTCACCCTTACAACTCAACTTTCAGCCAAACAATAACACCAGGGAGGTATACACTCCTTAAAACAACTAACCCTAAGAGATCAAGAGGGCAGCATGTGCCCAGGGATAAAGGTCAGAAGGCAGGAAGGGATAAGGAAAAAGAACTAATGAAACACTGATGGTGGGGACTGCAATCAGTGCCACAAATTACAATGTGTATGAATTGTTGAGAAGAAAAATAATTTTCTCTGTAAACTTTCACACAAATCACAAGAAGAAGTTTGTGTGTGTGTGTGTATTTAAATAATTTTTTTTTAAAGTATTATAGTAGCCTTATTCATTATAGCCACAAACTGAAAACAATCAAAATGTCCATCAGAGGAGAACAGATAAACTAACTACTGTTGTTATTGTTGTTGTTGTTGGGTGCTGCGGAGTTAATTCAGACTCTTGGTGGACCCATGGACAGAGCAGAAGTTTCCCATAGAGTTTATTTGGGCTGTAATCTTTGGAGTCCAGATTTCCAAGTCTTTCTCCTATTGAACTGCTAGGTGGATTCAACCTGCCAAGCTTTCAGTTAACAGTTAAATGTTTAACCATTTAAACTATCAGGACTCCTTAAAGCTAACGCTAGCGTACTCATAAAATGGAATATAACCCAGTAACAAAAAGGAACAAACAACTGATACACACAACATAAAAGAATATTTACTATGTAATTCCATTTATATGATGTTCTAGAATGAGAAATACTACTCTGTAATGTGAAAAAATTTGCCTGGGGGAATTGAAGGCCAGGTAGAGGTAGGGATTAGCTGGGAAGGAACATCTTTCTGGAGTGATAGAGGTCTGAATTACAAAGATGTGTGCATATGTCAATAACACATCTAATAGTCCACTTAGAATGTGTACATTTCACTATATGTAAATTTTACCGTAAGAAAAAAACTAAAAACAAACACTGAACTCTAGTTGATATGTATGCTGAGATGTTTAGGGTTAAAGTATAGTGACGTCTGTAATTTCCTTGAAATGCAAGTATGCCAAATGACTTGGCAAATTATTACTCACATTATTGTTAAGTGCCTTCGAGTCAGTTCTGACTCATAGCCACCCTGTATAAGGATTTTGAGGAGCACTTGGTGAATCTGAACTGCTGATCTTGCAGTTCAAACCTTGCAGTCCAGTGCATTATCCCACAGTGCCCACACCAGGACTCCTAGCTTTATATTATTTGACTGCATAGGATGTTCTCCCCACAGCTACATTTTTTTATGAAGTCAAATTTAATCACTTTTTCCCTTTCTGACTCTTGAGTTTTTTGTTATAGTTCCCTACTCAGAATATTCTTAATCCGCTCATCTGTTCTTTGATTTTTCTGTTGTTGTTTTATTCCTTATACTTGAATCTTCAATCCATTTGAAATTTATTTAATGTATGGATAAAAATAGGTATACAGCACTACTTTTCTTTCCTCCCAAATAAAACAATCTTAACGTTATTTCCTGAATTTTACATATGTGTATATACACCTTTATTTACATTTGTAAAAAGACGTTCTGAAAGGTTAGATAAGATATTAATTAAAGTGAGTAACTGTGATGGGATTAGAGAAGGAAACAAGACATATCTGAATATACCTAATTGTTTGTGACTTTGGAATCATGTAGATGTTTTATATATTCAAAATAGAAAACTAGATAAAAAGAAAAATACATTCAAAAGAAAAATCAAATAAAGAATAAAAGCAATCCCTGAAAGCAAGTTAAAATAAATTCCCCTAGCTGTATAGCAGGGGAGCACAGTGACTCTGTGGGATAAACTGGACTACAGGCCACAAGGTAAGTGGGTCAAGCCCACCAGTCAGTCATTCAGTGGGAGGAAGATGAGGCTGTCTGCTCCTGCAAAATTTACAGCCTGGGAAATCCTACACAGGGTTGTTATGAGTTGGAAACAACTCAAGAGTGCTTAGCAACAACAATAGCACTGTGTAACGAGCTGGTAATATAACCACACAGAGGAAAGAATGATTTAAAGTGATTTCAGAATACAGTGTTTTTACTACATATCATCAGTGGAGTATATTTAAAAGTCAATAGAGGTGCAGAGAAACTGTAAACATCATTCAGTAGTGTTATTGCGATTAGGAATGCCAGAATCATTATTCCAAAACCATTTCATAAATTTTATGGCATAATGAATGCAAGTTAATGTTGTTAGGACCCAAGATAGACAATATAACAGAAAAGAGTATAAGTAGTTACTGATCTGAATATGATTTCTTTTAAAAATAAATTTCCAGACTTCCTGCAAGATGGTGGAATAAGCAGACACACCACTGACCCACTACAACAAAGATGTGAGAGATCAAAAGACACAGATGAAATTTGGGGACCCTGAAGCAGACTGAGCGCTTCCTGGGAGAAGCTGAGCAGGGATGGGGAGAGAGGGAGACAGATTGGTGAACGACCAGCCCAGCAGTGGCCTAGCATGATGGGAAAGGTGCAATGCCTTCTTCCTCATGCTCCCATGGTGACCAGAGGGGTGGCCAGCTCCCACCCTCATCCACCCCCAGCACAGACCCTGCTCTCTAGGAGTTTGGAACTACATGGTTGGGAGTCACACCAGTGTGAAGCAGGGACCACTGACTGCATCACTTTGGTACACGGCTTTGGAGCCTGGATTCAGGTGGCCTCCAGACTTACAGAATCCACAGAGCCACCAGACCAACACTGAATCAGTCAACCTGGCCCGAGCTGGTCTGTGGTCCTAACAGATACTGAAACTAGTTCCATCAAGGGCCTTCATGAACTACTTCTGGATTGAGTGCCCTGAACAGGGACAAAGTCTATAGGAACTCCATCTAGGGCCAGGAACTCTGCTGTCACATCCCTCCCACACCCACCGCGTGAGATTCTTGGCTTTCAGGAGTCCCCGAGTTGTCGCCTCTCCAGGTCCAATAGCTGCACTGGTTTTTCTTTTGTTTTGTATTCGGGGTTGGTCTTCTGCTTCATTGTTTTTGATTTTTCTTTCTCCTCCTCCTACTTCTCTTTCCATTCCCTTGAATTTTATGCTTTCTATCTCTGCTTTTGGTTTTCCTTCTCTTCTGTTTCTCATTTCCTCTCTTCTTCTTTTTCCCTTTTGATTTTTCTTTACTACTCTTACTCTTTTCATCTTCCCTCTCCCTGGTTTTTTCAAGTATTTTTTTTTTAGTTCTTCCTTTTATTTCCACTCTTATTTTTCTTTTCTGAAGTTCCATTTTCCTGACCCTCTTTTTTTCTTCATGCTTATCATATTCTTTTGATCAGGTAGCTGCCTGTTTTTATCTCATTTTCCTTTTTATTATTATCTCTTTTCATTGTTGGTTCCTAGTTTGTTTATTCTGCTTTGTTTTCTTGTGTGTGTCTATGTGTGTGTGTGTGGGGGGGGGTCTCTTTCCCGCAGACAGCAACTGTGACCATATAGCCTAGCCACAACCTTACCCTCTGTAGCTCCATCCACTACTGGAGAAAATTGTCAGAGAGTTGTTGGAAGAAAACTTACTTGCCATCATAAAAGATGAGAAGATAAGAACACAAGAAGCTGCATGAACCCCAAATAGGACAGATGCCCCCCAAATCACCAAGACATACCATAATCAAACTTTCTAAAACCAAAGACAATGAAAGAATCTTGAAAGCAACTAGGAAAAAATGAGAAGTTCCCTACAAAGGAGAATTAGTAAGACTAAGTTCTGATTTTTCAGCAGAAACCATGCAGGCAAGAGGGCTGTGGGAGGTCATCTATAAAATTCTAAAAGAAAAACTTTTCTAATCAAGAATCATATACCCAGCAAAGCTGTCTCTCAAATACAAAAGTAAAACTAGGATGTTTCCTGATAAACAGAAAAGTAAAGGAATTTGTAATGACCAGACCAACTTTATAAAAAATTCTAAAGAGTCTTCTTTGGACTGAGAACCAACAGCATCAGACAACAACCTGAGGTTACCATCCATGACAACCCCACCCAGAACTCAATCTAGATATAGAAGCATTTAAA